GCTGATTAGCTAGCCAGGGGCACCCTTGCCTCTCTCACATCTTAATGGGATTGAGTTGGATCTCCTTAAACGTCTTGCGTTCTAACTTTGGATCAAGGGACCTAGCGTGAACTCAGCAGACGCTGGTCGATGACCAACTCCTGTGCGATCGCGAGATCCTTCTGGCCAAGAGTGGATCGCAGGTGGTCGGGGAACTTCTCGCCCTGAGCAAAGTGCATCTCGCCGATATGATAGGAGTTCTCACTGAACACTGTCCACTGGGTACTCATTCGGTACGGCTTTGAGTACTACCCGATGCTAGTTGCCAAAGTTGTATGGAGGAGGGTGAGATTGAAACATCCCGCCATTTTCTCCTCCACTTTCCGGCTTTCGCTAGGCTGAGACTGAAACATCTCGGCAATCACACTTTCGGCGCACCTGAATACTTAGCCGAAATGGATGGGCAAAAGCTCACTTACAAGTCCAAAATTTTAAGAAACAGCACTTTGCCTAGTGGTAACAGAGATTGAAAATTCTCTGGAGGTTAAAGAACATATTATCTCCACTTCTCTGAATCCTAACAATGAAATAATTTGGTTACCATCGCTAACCTAATGCAAACAATATTAAATGATATAAATCTTTGGGTAGTCTAGTAAGACGGATCCAGTATTTTTCACTAGGAAACGCAGTACTCCAGAAGTTATGGCGCCATTATTAAATGGTACCAGGCTAACAATAGGAGATTAGGCAAGCTACTTAGGACTAATTTTAGATAATAAGCTGCTGGAAACCAAACATTGAATAAAGGAGCTACAGCACTTTACACCTGCTAAAGGATGGTAGAGCCCAAATGGGGACTAACGCCTCGAGTAGCTCATTGGCTCTACATAAAAGTTGTTAGACCGATTATGACAAATGATATATTGGTATGGTGGCCAATAATACAAAAGAAATACGCGGTAACGCGTATGGAAAGCATACAAAGAGTAGCTAGTTTATGCATGAGTGGAGCTCTTAGAACAACACCAAGTTATGCACCAAATGTAATTTTTTGCATATTTACTGCCAATAGACTTGTTCTGTAAGCAACTGGCAGCGAAAACAGTTCTAAGACAAAGGGAATACTCCCAAATGGTCCTATTTCTACCTATTACCACGGATTTTCAAAATCCTACAGAATCTCCCAGAGTTTTGTCAAAGGTAGTGAACATTCTATTTCACGATAAACCTTCAAGGGGTTCCAGGACATAGTGAAATCCCTGGTAACTGTGAAGCAGATCAACTAGCCAGAACAGGCACCACTCTACAATTGTGTTCCTGAAAAGAAGGAATAATGTGGAAGTAGTGGAATTGCAGATATTTAATAGACGAATATGTTATAACCTTAGCTGAGTCTCGGTGGAATCAATCACTGACTTGCTCAAACTAGCAGGCAAACGTGGCATGAATGGAACATGGACCGCACATGCCGGCTATCAAAACTCAAAAGGAATGACATAAGAACTCTAGCAAGAGAGCTAACAGGCCACGCCTAATTTGCAGACATGCCAGCAGTCTATGTGCACCATACAATGACTATTGTATAACCTGTCAGGAGGTAGAAGAAAGCTGTAAAACATCTTCTGTGCAAATGCAAGGCTCTTAATAAGAAAATAATCGCAACTACCGGTCGAGGGTTTTCTGACGACGTTTCAGAGGTTGCACAAATAAAACTTTTTGTATTGATGAACTTCATCAGAAGCACCGGGTGGTTCAGAAGTGAAACTATAGAGTATGGGGATATTAACCCCAGTGGTATCACAATGGGTCTCTTAAAGGCCTAGGTACTTCGTTTAACAGCCACTCTACCTACCTACCTAATACCAATCCGAATCAGTCGGTTCAACGTCAGTCAGTTTTGCGGTTGAATTCGGCTCTGCATAAGATTGTGTTGGCACAAGAACTGAAGCCGACAGATCATTTGAACCGCGTAGCTTTGCCGATTTGACGCTGGAAATGATGGAAGCCAACGAGGATTTTCATCGAAAAATCATTTTATCAAATGAGGCCCATTTCCGGCTTAATGGTTTCATCAACAAACAAATTGTAATCGTAATTGGGGTGAGTGAAATCCTGGTGTTGTTCAGGAAACCCAATTTGTGGTATAGGCGCCGCCATATGTGCCGAAATGCTGCATCGGGTCATCGAAAATTGGAGTAAACGGGTGGAGATATGCAAACCGATCCGTGGTGGCTACTTCGCCGACATTTTGTTTAAATCATAAATGGCATAGAAATATCTGAAAAAAATACTGAACCCATTTCAACCAAATTTGACTGCTTTATTTCATTTTAACATCACTTCGTTCTTATTGGTGAAACCTATATAAGGAGTAAAATAAACCGGGTGTTAAAAACCTGACATATGAAGGCTAGGGCAAGTTTTTACCCGATTTTGTCAATTTTAGGCACAAAGATGCACCGTTATTAGAAAAGTACGCAACCAATTTTGTTAAGATAACTCACATATTGGCCGATATACCTATGTATGCGGTATAAAGCCGGCCGGAAGTTTAAAAATATTTCTATTAAGTATATAAGGGCTGAGGGAAGTAATGACCCAATTCAACCCATTTTTCATATGACAAACAGATATACTATTATCAGAAAAGAATTCTCTCCGAATTTCAATTATAGGTATATCTCACAGATTGTACGACATTTTCGGAAAAGTTTAAGAATCAGATGGAATTTAAAAGTGTGTTAAATAGGAAGTAGGCGTGATTTTTGTCCGATTTCGCCCATTTTTATACTGTTATATAGGAATGTCAGGAATTGGCGCGAATTCGGTTGAAATTCGTCTAGTAAGTCCCGAGGTATAGGTTTCTGTTAAAGGATAGCGGGGCCTCGCCCATCGTATAATTTTTACATCGGCTTCAATTAAGCCCTTTTATACCAACTGGTTGTCGGATTCTATGCCTCTTATACATTTACTTATTGATTTATCGCATTTTTAGTAATTTTTATCAAAACCGATATGTGGGGAGTGGGAGAAGTTATCATCTGATTTCTTCTATTTTCACACTGGCGTAAAAGGTGTCAAAAGTTATTGTGCTGTGTAAATTCGGGTGATATGGCTTGGTTTGACAGATTGATTATATTTCCCTCATTAGAACAATTTGTTGTACCAAATCACATTTTCATATCTTAAATTGCGGTTTAGTTATGGCAATTTATAGGTTTTCGATTAATGCCGTTTTGTGGGCGTGGCAGTCCGACTACGCTCATGTACAATACTCAACTTCTTATGGTGTCAATGGTTTTGTGTACCCAGTTTCATCAAGATACATCAAGACGAACGGACAGACCATCAACCGTATTACAACTCTTCTCGTCATTCTGATCTTTTATATACAGATATATATAACCTCATATTTATTTCGCTTAATTTTAGGTGATTTAAACAACCGTTAGGTGAACGAATATATTAGACTCTGTAGCAACATGTTGAGTATAAAAACAACGTATATTGGCATAACATGGAGAAATGTTTACTTCGGTTACACCGAAGCTATAATAACCTTCACAAATACAAAAGATTCCTTGCAAGGACTTTGAATGTTTAGTTCGTATGTTAGCTATATGTTATAGGGACTCGACCTGAACAGTTTCTCCGGAGATTGCGCCGTTGCCTTGGGTAATAACCCATGCCAAATTCGAAGAATATATCTTGTCAAAGTCAAATAAAAACGTTCCATACATACACTTGATTCTAATCGTTCAGTTTGTATGGTAGTTATATGATATAGTGATCCGATCTGAACAATTTTTTCGGAGCTTGCATTATTGCCTCAGTTAACAATCCATGCCAGATTTCGTGAAGATTTCTCGTTAAATTAAAAGTTTCCATACAAGCACTTGATTCCGATCGCTCAGTTTGTATGGCAGCTATATACTATAGTGGTTCCGACAAATAAGCGGATTCTTGGTGAGAAAAGGGGTGTAAAATTTCAGATCAATATCTCAAATACTGAGGAAATAGTTCGGATATATACAGACGGACGGACAGTCGGACATGACTACATCCACTTAGTTCGGACATGGCTACATCCACACATTCCATCACGCTCGTCATTTATATACATATATATTTTATAAGGTCTCCGACGCTTCCTTTTAAGTGTTTCAAACATCATGGCAAACTTAATATACCCTGTTCAGAATATAAAAAAACCGCGCGGACATACAAAATGATCTGTATCAAATAAGGTGTGAGATCAATTCTTAGATGCAGTTACTATTCCCTTCTGGAGAACTAAGATCCTCCTTTAAGCTTCCTTATAACCAATAAAGTGATTTTTATTCTTCTGAATATTACGAATATATCGATTACTTTCTTTGGCCCCATAATGACAGAATATATAGACTTTTACCTTGACTTGACTTGATAAGGTATTCATCGAAAATAATCAAAACAGCTTCTGTCATATTTCGCTTAACATATTTTTATAAGCAACCAAAAATAAAATAAATCCATGATGCGAGACTCTCTCATTTTCGCTGATTTTTCTGTTATTCTCTTTCCCTGATTATTAAAATCAGGGAATTTCGAACAGCTAATGTCAAAAAAGGATGCCAGAAATAAACCCGCTAAAAATAGCTAACATAAGCAGTGCGAAACGAAATTTCAAGGAACGACACAAATACTTTTGAATAACGTGCAACTAAATTTTATTTGTTAATTGAATTGAAAACATAACACGTTCATCATAAAACCATGATCTTTTATTATGACTTGTATTGTTTCTTTGTTATAGTTTTTTTTATTTACATACTATATGCTATTTTTTTTTTTTGTTATATGATTTTTTAAAAATTTTATAATACAAATACACGTATATAAGGATGTATATGCGTTATATAGGCCTACTCGGGGACAGAGCACCTAAAAATAATATCGATATGCAAAATACCCAAAATTTTTTTTATAATACCCAATCCATTTTCTTTCGACAGTGGCATGATTGGAAAATGTTATAAAAAATGTGGGTTTTGACAGCTCTTTCTCGATTCAAAGAGTCTCACATCATTTCGTCCTTGGCACAATACAATGATTTGCGCCACTCTATTAGCCTACAACCAACCTAAATGTGTGAAAAATCGTGTATACAAATATAACAATGGCAATATTGGTGAAACGAAAACAAAAGAGAACAACTGTTTTTTGTGTTGCAACTACGGGCATAACTTTTAACAAATTTGGTTTGATACGGGCAGTAAGTACGAAAGGGAGGAATGTCGGTGACTGTTAAATATTTAATAATAAAAAAAAGTTATCTAAGTTACTCTCTATTACGTCAGATCCCATCAAAATCGATCCAGCCTTTTCAGAGATTGGCCGGAACAAACAGAGAGAGAGACCGACCAAAATTGTAAAAATATTTATTTTAGTATATGTAAGTATATGTATATCGTATAGTATGTGTATATCGATATGTAGTATTTAGTAAAAAACGGATATTTTAATATTATTACAAGCAGACACTCCAATTTTATTTATCTGTATCGATTTGTTCTAGCAGAGAACTTACGTTCTCTGGTATAATGCATTAAATTAGTATCCATTTTTCATATTATTTGCGACAGATGTCGCTGTATTATTGTGGAACTCATTGCTTTTGTTTGTCGTTTTCTGCTAACCAAGTATAATAACTACCTTCCACTTTTTAATGTAATTTAATTTTTCATACAAACAAATGAGTGATGGAGTGAGAAAGAGTTTAAAATTAAAACAGGTATGTTGCTTCAGTCTACTGTTGAACGGCGATAAAACAGGTTCGAACATTTGTTAAATATTGAGTAAAAGCTTTAATGGTGTAGTTTTAAATCGACCTATCCTGTGTACAGAGTGTAGCAATATTTTCTATTTACCAATACAAAATAGATAATGCTTAATTGTTTAAATTAATAGAAATACTTGTGAATATTGTAATATATACAAAAAATGGTGATTAAATAATGAAAGCTATTTAAATATCGTTTGTTTTGTGAAGAAAATTATATATACATATTTTTTCATAAGTCCGATATGTGAACCAGTTAATATACACACATAAACAAATATATATTTGTATATGAATGCAATAAATGTATGTCTAGAGAAATACCAAGTTTGTATTCATATGTGAAATTGTGAGACTTTTTAAGTAACTCACAAAAACAACTTACCATATCTATATCTGTAAGTACCATAAGCTATAATATAAGTTTATTTTTAATTTTATGGTGTAAATGGTGCAAAAATGAAATTAAATTGTACTTATATATTTACATACTCGTACATTGTAAATTTTGAAGGTATTACAGGACAAGAACTTTTGGCTTCGTAGATACGCTGATGTATTAAATATTGACTTAGCTAAACAGATATTATTACTGGGAAAAATGTATATACCATATTGCTTTCACCTGTACCTTAGTTCGCCCCATTTTATATTTGGTAGTTCGCCGACTCTGTTACTTACAATATTATACATAGCGGAGACCAGTTGATATTTGCGGAATTGTCGTACGAGTATGCATTCAAAAATATATATTTTATGTTGCATTTTGGAATATTCCAAGTATTTATGGTGTATGTATATGCGTAAGATTCATATCAAAATGAACAAACGTAAAGAAGTCACTTAAATCAATATAAGTACTAATTATTAAGTATTCAAAATATTATTATAATTTAAAAGAAAAAAGATCAGTTCCTTTTTCCGGAATTATCGTATGATACAAAAAACAAATGTTACAGAAGTTTTTTCTTCGTTTTTTTCCAATTTGGCTTATAACATTGCTTCTAAATTTCATATGTATTTGAACTATTTATAGAATTTTGGTTATATAATACAAGTATATAGCAATTTTATGTTTTTTCAAATGAATTAGTAGTGATATTTTTACATTTAAGAATTATTCTTCATTGGATTCATTTAAAACACTTTTTTTTAGGTACACTACAAGATATTTATTTGGGATATGTTTTTAATGCAAAGAAATTTTTTTTTATTGAAATGCATAAAATGTTTTTATATAATATTTCAGCGCTATATCAATTCTTTTAATGTTTGAATAATTATAAAAAAAAAATTATTACCATATTTTAGAAAAATTAATAAAGTTTTTTTTTAAATGTAGATATTCAAAACTTGCTTAAGTTTAATTTACCTTTTTTTAGAATTCTTCCAATTTTGAAAATCTTTATAATTCATTTCCTCATTACAATCTCGGGCATCATACTATGACCCCGAAGCAAAAAACCAATTGAATTTTGTTTTTTTTTAATTTGAAAATTTTAAAAAATATTCAATCATTACTACAATTACAATTACTTGTGGAACATCTTTGTTGCGGTTTTGCCCAGCGCCAGGGAACATGCAAAAATGTACAGCTCGACAATACTCAGTATTTAGTCACTTAGCTTTTATTCTTTAATTCTTTTTTTATTCTTTCAAAATTCGGTTAACAAGTAGAATTGAAATACAATTTATCTTTAATATTTTAAATTTTGTTTAATTTTAAATACACTTCTTTGATTTTCCCCTTGCACTGGAGGAAACACTTCACGGACAAACGGAAAAGAGACCCATTCCGGTCTGATTAATTCTTTTCGTTCATTTGGGTGGTGAAAAAGACGATGGTTGAAGTGTGGGTGCGTAGTCTGGTTGGTTAGTTGTGTTGGTGGGTGATATGGTTTGTTGTATGTGGTGTTGTATGATGTTGTACGGTGGGTTGTGTGGTGAGATGCAAAATATCGCGCGATCAGAAGTCGCATGAACATTCCGGCCCCCCTAGGCGATTGCAGTGTGCTCACGACGGGGTTCAATCCGGTTGCTATTTGTCGCTGGTTGTGATGGCCATAGGGTGGTGGGGATGGCCGCAACAAGACGGGATCCCCGTGTTGTCTGTGCCGGGGACTGGTCTACGTTGTCGACGGATTTGCTCGTCGAGGGAATCGATGAAACAATGTGTGATGCAATCGTTGGCAATATTGACATGATTCGTCGGTTACACAGTCAAAAGTGGAGTGAGTATCTGCCAAGCAAGTCATACAGTGGTTGTGGGCTCTGCCGATCTGTTGGCGTTGAGCGGGCTTTATGCTCTTGAAGATGGTGCACCTCTTCAGGATGTGTGGTCGATGGTATAGACTGCACCGTAGAGGCAAAGCTGATGCCCTAGGCGCAGCAATTACGGACCTCACAGTCTTGAGAGTGCTGTGGATATCTTCTACGACCATTTCTATTGGAATAGGAATATATATTAAAATATGGTTTGTCTCATAATTTGAATTATGATATTTGTTCTTTAGTTTGAAAAAAAATAAAAAATATATATATATGTATATATGTTGTGGTTAATTTTTAATCGCGTTTGTTAGTGTTAGATTTACATATACTTATTGTAAAACGGTAGTATTCCGAGTTAAACGAATTAATTGTCGGTTTTGAATTTATTTATGCGCTTGTTTTCGCGGGGTTTGTGTTATCGGTTCTTCGATGTTCGGTGTTCGGAAGTAAACACAATTTAACTAATGGTTGAGTTAGTATTCCAGTTTATGTTCCTACATCTACTATTCTTATATGACCATCTCGATGGACCTTTTCAATGCGTCTTAGTCGCCATTCGGTTGGAGGTTGCCATTCATCATGTATGATGATGCATTCTCCCGCATTTGGTTCCTTCTGGATCGTTTTCCACCGATGTCTCTAATGGAGATCTTTAAGGTAATCTTCCTTCCATGAATCGCTGAATTCATGATGAAGTATCTTATGAGAGTGGTGAGATAGATCGTGAATTTAGTACGGTTTCTATACGAGCGAGTAGTGGGGTAAATTCCTCATAATTGAATTTATGATTACCTGCCGTTTTCTTTAAATGGGACTTAAAGCTTTTACAGCTGAATCCCAGAGTCCGCCCATGTAGGGAGAACATGGATTTATAAACTGCCAATCGATTATTTGTTGTGCATATTTTTAACAATTTCTGGGCAGACGTCTTTAGTAAATCTTACAAACTCTTTCTCTGTGGCTCTTTGAGCTCCGATAAAGTGTTTCCCATTGTCGCTCATAATTTTTGATGGAAATCCGCGTCGTCCGACAAAGCGTGCAAATGATACGAGAAAAGCCTTTGTCGTGAAGCATACAAAGACAGCCACATACTCTTTTCTGAATGAGGAAGACCTTAACATAGAGGACTTCATCTGAAAAGATCCAACAAAATCAACTCCAGTAATGGTAAAGGGAAGAGCAAAATTGCAGCGTTCAGGTGTCATTGTTTACACATAAAAATCGTCCTTTTAATTTGTGGTTTTAGCCCCCTATAGAAAATTCTAGTCGGACCATTTGTTACATCAAGCGATGCTTTCCATGTAATGTAAGTTGGTAAGGATATATTAGAAATCAATAAGTAAAACGGGATTTCTCAGGAATAATAATGGGATATCGTTCGTTATAGCTAACGTTAGAATTCACTAGTCTAGCATGTGCTCGGATTAATCCCTTAGTGTCCAAAAAAGAATTTAAAATGAGAAGTGAGCTTCCCTTATCGAGAGGTCGTCTTTCGACTAACTTTGCTTTCTCCCGAATGAAATAGCGAGTTTGTGTATATGTAATAAGGCTGACCTTGGCATGTTGCAGGTTGGAATGCATTAGTTGTACGGAATGATCATTTGTTATTCCTTTAACCTTTTGTTTGAGTCTTTGGATAAATTTAAACATGTAAGCGACTACTCTTAGTGCTTTTGAGAATGATGAAAATCGATGTAATATACTTATAATCTTCATCAGGAGTGATAAGAAAATTTTCAATTCTTCGAATTTCAGGAGCTATTACATTGCGAGCGGGAGACTTTGTTCAGACTTCTTGTGATTCTGTTAACCACGTAGGACGTTCCACCCGAGTGTAGTGCTTGTGAGATGAAGTGGTCTACAGCCTCTTGTCCCTAGATCCGCTAGATTATCTGCACTTGCAATACGTTGCCATTGTGCTGGGCCAACTAAGTCTAATATTTGAGATATACGGTTAGATACATAAGTCTATATATATAAGGTATATGGTGGTTTTTCTAACCATGCTAAAACAATTTCTGAGTCTAACCAAAGCTACATTTTGTGTTTACTTAATTTGAGATAGGTTTGGACAACTGAAACAAGTTTTGCTAACAGAAGAGCACCATTCAGTTCGAGTCGTGGCACGCTTAGCGTCTTCAGGTTAGCAACTTTGGCTTTGGCTACCAAAAGACATGAAGATATTTTGTTATCATATTCAGTGCGTACGTAACCTCTTGCACAATAGGCCTTTTCAGAGGCATCACAGAAGCCATGTAATTCTATATTATAGTGAGGTTCGAAATTTACCAATTGAGGAATTCGAATTTCCGAGATGGTATATAGATTGAACCCACTTTGTTAAACGTATGGGTTTTACTTGCTCATCCTATTCAGTGCCATCTTACCATAGTTCTTGAATGAAAATTGTTGCTTGAATCATTATTGGCGAAAGCCATCCTGCGGGGTCGAAAAGTTTTGCCAAAGAGGAAAGTATTTGACTTTTGGTTATGGCGGATGTTTAAAGGGGGGAGATTTCGTTGTGGTGTCCCACTTAAATTGGATTTTAATATTGCATTGACTATTGAACTTAATATGGCATGAAAAAATACACTTGTTATTTGTTATATTGAATTTTATGTAAAAAGCTAATTAATGTTATTTTACATTTAATTGTACAATGAAATTTAGAAGTAACAAGTAAGGAAGGGCTAAGTTCGGATGTAACCGAACATTTTATACTATCGCAAAGTCAAATGGTATACTCGTTTTAGATTTCTTTGTGGACCTTGACGCCTTGTTCTCTTATGAGAAGAATATTATGTACCGAAATCGGTTAAGCAGATCCCAAGATATGGGTTTTCACCTAAAAGGGGCCGTGCCACGCTCACTGACTAATTTTGAACGTGGTTCCTATAAAGTCATCTCATACCATCCCAGAGATAAAAATTTAATGTCTCTGGCTTGTTTAGTGCTTGATTTATCGCGCTTTTAGTAGTTTTTAACAGTACCGTTATATAGGCAGTGAGCGTGGTTGTCACCCGATTTTACACATTTTCACACCGTCGATAGAAATGCTAAACACATTTGTTCCCAGTGAATTTTTTTTATTATAGCTTCAGTGGTATAGGAGATATGCACATTAAAC